CTGCTAACTACAAGGTCAGTTCGAAACCACCAGCCGCTCCACAGACAGGGTCATTGTGAGTGGGAATTGACTCCATAGGAGTTTGAGTTTTTTTCAGTTGAGTGCTAAACCACTGTGCCACCAAGATTCCTTAAAGTTAGCAGCCTCACAGCCTTTTCAAGCAAACACAATGTGAATTATACACGAACATAAAATAGTGAAGGAGTCAAAAGCCATGGGATAAATTCCTTTCATATTCAAAAAAGCAGCATCAGTCTTGTTAAGTTCTATCTTGGGTACATGAATTCAATTAGCAACTAAAAAATGTTCTCAAGGCTCAACTCAAGGAGAAAGTCCAAGATTGTTCAGAAATGAGAGAGATTCCTGGTGGCGCAGTGATTAAGCAGTCACCTGGATCAGTAGCTCTACCTTACCAGCAGAAAAGGAGGGGAAAAGAATGGCAGTCGGCTTCCGTAAAGATTACAGGCTTGGGGCCCCTACCGGGCAGTTCTAGGGTAACTAGGAGCTGGAATGGGCTGGACAGGGCAGGCACATTTTGGTTGATTAGCTTGGTTGTGTTACTTTGTATTATGACAAAGGGGAGACCTGCTGCAGTTGAGCCCTTGACTGTGAACTGAAGATTGGTGGTTCGAACCCGCTTAGCTCTGCAGAATGACCTGGTGAGATCAGCTGGCTTCTATAAAGATCAAGCCCTCCAGATAATCTATTGACCAAACATGATAATGAGGTGCACAAGTCTGGGATTACAAAACCAGCTGTTATGCTGCAATAAGGACCAATCGAGAAGCCAGAACAAGGGCCAATGGGAAAGCAAGCTAGGGGATGAGGCAAGCCAACTGGGTACTGCTCCCTGACCCCTAAGGGCCAATGTCATACCCCTAGTCATCAGCTTCCTCAAATCATGAAGTGACTGAAGTGTACTTTGCTTATTAAATTTTTGGTCCGCTTTAAAAAATCAAGCCCTATGGGGTAGTTCTACTCTGTCACACAGGATCACTGTAAGTTAAAAATCAACTCTCCAGCACCTACCAAGCTGAAACAACTGTAACAAAAAGATAAACAATATGAAATCAATTAGTTAAGCATCACATATTGTCCTACAGAACATAGCTCGTGTGAATAGGAATAAGCCACATGAATATTACAAGCCTTGAATGTTCATTATATATAGATAGAAACTCAGTAAAGAGCAATTTCTTTCTAAGAAATATATACAAAATTTCTAATCGTTTATGATCCATGCAGCAGCTATGCAAACTTTGAATCGGAAAGAAATAAAATGTGGAAGAGGAAGATAAGTGTAAGCCACAGAGACATCTGCAGACTAGACTAGAAGCTCCCTGATGGGAAGAAACTATCCATCTTGGTTCCTAGCAGGAGCTTCCAAAGTAATACACACTGGACATTTATAAAATTAGGGTACAGGGCAAGGAGTTCAATGATAAGAACATTGCAAAGCAGAGGTACTCTGGTGCACAGGCCTCAGAGGTTTCATGCCTCAGGACCAATAGCTTACAAGGCAGAGCAGGAAAATGCCCAATACTTACCACAATCATTCGCCCATCAGAAGTAATGACAGCAACAGTTCCTGATAACTGAGTCAAGGAGCATTTCTTAAGGGAATACACGTTGAAAGTTTAGACTGGCAAAGGAACAGTGAGTTACTAGGCAGACTTAAAATGTCTAGCTTTTGCAACTATGCTTGATAACTGCATATTATTTTTTTAAAGAGAAACTCTTTTCTCTGTGCGATGAGTATATCCTACATGGAAGCAAGTGGAGTAGTTGATACTTTTTTTCCCCTGAGAAAACCTGACTTTGAACAAGACATATCCCACTATCTTTGGCCGATTTCATTTCTGGAATGAAATGAGACGGCCACTAAATCAATCGATGTTAAATGATTTCTAGCCTGAAGGACCATAACGGGCAATAGAGATGAATATGCTTTCAAAGTCTCCAGTGTTTACTTTTGTTCCCGATTTGCACATACATGCACTGTTTCTTCAAAACGGTTAACGTGTCCATCAGGTTCTCTCCACAATCCACTGAAAAAACATGGTTTTCATTCTCTCAACATGGGAAATGAAGACTCAAAGCGGGAAGAGGTGCGGAAACTCAATGTAAAACGTCTGCCATCCCCAACAATGAAAATGCCTCTGAATAAAACCAGGGCGCCCATTTACGCCACCGTCGCCGCCAGGACCACAAATGACAGTGTTTTCGATCGAGATGCGTGGGCCCGGGGGAATAGCAAGAACGACTGCCTACTGAAGAACTGGAGAGAATTACAATGTGCTTACTTTTATTTGGGGCTCAAAAGTAAGAGGCCCGGGGCCGCGGCACCATCGGCGGGCGCGGGTCCTGACCCCCACCCCCTTCGGCCACTCCCGAGGCCCCCCCCTGAGCAGGGCGCCCCAACCGACCGCAGATCCCGACCCGGGGCCCTGGGGCGGCGCGGACCTAGCCGCCGGGACCGCCGAGGATACGGTTGATGTAGTTCTCCAAAGCGGACGTCATGATGTTCGGCCCGGGAGCTCAGGGCGCACGGCAGCGCCAGCAACAACGGGAGCCTAAAGGACCCGCCACCAGCCGGCCACAGAGGGCAGCAAATATCGCGAGAGTTGGCGGAGCCACAGAGATTGGAAGAGGAACTGCGCAATCAGCCCGAGAGCTGAAGCGTTCACGAATTAGTGCGCTTGCGCGCCGTGGGGAGGCGGGTCTTCCGTGCAGCCATCCCGGAAGTCCCCAGAGACAGAGGCGGAAAACGGAGCAAAGTGCCGGTAGGTGGAGTAAGCGTAAGTGGTGTAAAGGCTTTCCCGAAGAGAAAACCGCACGCAGTGCCATGGAGGCGAATCCCTCAAAGCGACCCTGTCCTGAGTGAGCATCGAATGGCAGTGAGTTTAGGAGCTCTGATGGCAAAGTAGTTACGCTCCACCCGAGGAACGTGACTTTCTATTTCCATAAAAAGTGACAGTCTCAGAAACCTCCAGAGGCAATTTAGTACATAACAGAATATATTTTCTCTAAATCAGCTTTATACGCTTGAGAATGCCTGCGCCTTGGGGAGTTCAGCATTAACTTTATTATTCAGTTTTATTGTATCTAATAATTTACGTAATACAAAGTGTGCTGAGACATAGTTATCGTCTTAAAAGTGTTAATTGTGAGTTAATAAAAAGGAGCTCTGATGGTGCTGTCAGGTTAACATTGAATTGCTAGCTTCAAGCTTGGTGGTTCAGATCCACTCCTTGGGAGAAAGGAAAATTTCTGTTCCTGTAAAGATCTACAACCCCAGAAACCTTACATAAGGTCACTATGTGTCAGAATTGCCTGTGTGACAATGCAAATGCATTTTGGGAAATTTAAAAGCATCATTTATCTAGCAGAGGTAGGGCCTGAAATGGGAATGTTAGCAAGAGTCCAGACATGAGCTTCTGATTTGTAGCAGTAAAAGGAAAGGCTGGAGAAAAGTATTTTCAGAGCCAGGGCAAAAATGACAGGGGAACATGGGTGGCGGGGTGACCGTGGTGGGTGAATCAAAAGGATAAGTAAGAGTAGAGAGACCCAGAAAAAGGCACGACTGACTTCCTGTTAATGAAACAGTAAAAGCCATCTGTAGGTTTCAGTGTGACATGTTCCTCACAGGTTAGTGGTGAGGCCACGGAACACCTTGGTTAGAGTTCCACTCTGAGGTCTAGAAAACCAGTCTATCAGGAGACCCACTGTTTTAGTTTATAAAAGTTGATGCTTATTAAAATTCTGACATGTATTATGGTGAACAGAAGTTCCTTGATTTGGCTCTTCTGGTCATGCCTCACGCCCACCAAAAGTGATTGGCTGGGACTATGCGAATCCAGGGCTGGTCAGTTTGGGTTGGCTTTCCTCGGTGTATTAAAGAGCCAACTCAGAAGTAGAGAAAAGTATAAATCTTATCCTTGATCTTAGACCAGTGCACTGTTTATCGTTGTGTACTGTACCTTTTTACTCAGCTCTTGGAATGTATTAGCCTCATCGTTTTCCCAAGAATACCAATAGATTTGTTTTCCTCTCTTGCAATATAATGTCTTCAACAAATCTGAATGAATTTATTCCTGGAGTATGATTTATACCATTCAATAATAAGGTCAGAATTGAAGATCCTAGAAACCTAACTTCATTCCCACCATCAATATTAATTTTCTATTTTGGCACACCAAAGTCATAAAAAAAAAGACAGTATAGTTTTATCTGTACTGCAGTCCAAGCCATGGGAAGCTAACAACAATGAGTACAAGAAGAACATGTTCTGAAATTGATTGTGGTGATGATTGAATAAATCATCTTAATATGACTGAATGATTAAGTTGTACGATGTGTGAATTATATGCCAATAAAACTTTTTTTTAAAACTCAAGCAGAAACCACAGGAAAAATACAATAAAACAATGGTCATTCATCTACACTACCATGATAATACAAGCTTGGTGATCTATTAATAAGGCCCTTGAAGAGGTTTAAGCCTAAGTGCATTCTTCATACTGTCTCCATTTATAATTTAAATATTAATCCAAGCCCAATCCAAATATGAATCCAAGCCCAAATATGAATCCAAGCCCTAGGGAAAAGTCTGAGGTGTAAAAACTGCCTACTAGAAAAAAATCACCTGCTGCTGAAAGGGAGCATGAACACATCTATAAATTGTCTTCTTTCAAACTACTTTAAACTTCAAAAAAAATGTAATGGTCTGTATGTTACTAACGAATCCTGGTGAGTCGAAGGTTAATTAAAAGGTTGGCAGTTTTAATTCATGGAGTGTTCTGCAGGACACAGATTTGGTGATCTGTTCTCTAAAGATTGTAGCCTAGAAAACCCTATGAGGCATTTCTACTCTGTTACATGATGAGCTGTGGGAGAACATCGGGAACATCATACAAGAAGAAAGCAAATGGTCATTGACAAACAGGAAAGAAAGAAAAGACCAGCACGGATGTTCGAGTAGACTCTTAAGCTTGCTCTACATTGTAGAGTAGCTAAGGCAAATGGAAGACATGATGAACTCAAAGAACTTACCAGAAAATGTCAAAGGGCAGCTCAGGAAGACAAAGCAAAATATGATAATGAAATATGCACAGTCCTAGAGTTAGAAATCCAAACATGAAGGACATCCCCAGCATATCTTAAATGGAATGAATTAAAAAATTCAAGCCTTGAATGGCAATAATGAAAAATTCTATGGGCAAAATACTGAACAATGCAGGAAGCATCAAAAGAAGATGGAAAGAATATAGAGTCCAAAACATAACTAGTTGATATTCACCCATTTTAGGAGGTAGAATATGTGTAAGAACCAATGGTACCAAAGAAAGAAGTATAAGATGCATAGACTGTAGATCGTAACAAAGCTCCAGGAATTTATAGAATACCATTTTACAAAGCACAGGAAGCACTCACTGTTCTGTGCCATAAAATTTGGAAGAAACTACTTGATAACTGAATTGAAAGGTTGTTATTTGTACCCATTTCAAGTAAAGGTGACCCAACAGGATGCTCAAATTATAAAGCAATGTCATTGATACCACATACAAGTAAAATTTTGCTGAAGATCATCCAGCAATGCGTGCGGGAGAACATTAACAAGGAGCTGCCAGAGATTCAGGCTGGATTCAGAAGAGTACTTGGAACAAGGGTATCCTTGCCAGTGTCAGATGGATCTTGGCTCAAAGCAGGACAATACCTGAAGTTGACCTGTGTTTTCTTACTGTTATGCTAAAGCATTCCACTGAGTAGACCATAACAAACTATAGATATTCTTGAGAAGAATGGGAATTCCAGAGCACTACATTGTGTTCATGCAGAACCAGTACATAGATCAAGAGACAGTTACGGGAATAGAACAAAGGCATACCGCATGGCTTAAAATCAGGAAAGGGGTGAAACGGTGGTTTCCTGTCACCATACTTACTCAATCTGTATACTGAGCAAATCATGGACAAGCTGGATTATATGAAGAAGAATGTGGCATCAGGATTAGAAGTAACGGTTATTACGAACTTATGATATGCAGAAAAAACAACTTGCTTGCTGGAAGTGAGGAGGACTTGAAGGACTGCTGATAAAGATCAGGGATTTCAGACTTCAGTATGGATTATAACTCAATATAAAGAAAACCAAAGTCCCCACAACTGGACCAATGAGGAACATCATGATAAATTGATGAGAGGTGTGGTCATTGCATAATCTCCTGTCACTTTCAAGGGGTGGGGTCTAGTCTGTCAATCAGATGATAGCCAATGAGTCTTCTGTGTGGGCCTGGCCTTCTGAGAATTCTGGGAAATCTGGTTTTTCCTCCTTGGAGGCGAAAGAGGCTTTCTGTTCATTCCCTTGGAGACGCACTACTGACCAGGCTCACTTCCTGTGAGCCCAATGGGCCTACCCTGTTGCAGCCCTGGGTGCTGGAGAAGCCATGTGGAGACCCCTGCCAGCACGGAGATGCTTACAATGCCAGTGGATCTAAAGACTTTCTACCCACTGGCCTGATTGTTCTGTATTCAGCATCACTGCATGTGTTTCATGAGTCTGAAGAGGACTTCATAGATTGGTATTGGACATATGGGCTAATATTGGACTTATGGACTTGATTTGGACTTGGCTGGGGTGTTTTTCTCAATATTCAATTGCTAATGTATATAAACCTCTTTCTTATACACATATGTGTGTTTATGACTTTGTTTCTCTAGTCTACCCGGACTAACACAAGAGTTGAAGTTGTCAAGGATTAAGTCTTGCTTGGATACACAGTCAGTGCTCATGGAATGAGCAGGCAAGAGATCAACTGATGTAAATCTGCTGCACAAGCCTTCTTTAAATTATTGAAAAGCAAAGATTTTACTTTAAGGGATAAGGTACACTTGACCCACCCCTAGCCGTGGTATTCAATCAGTCACATGCATGTAAAAGTTGGACATTAATAACGAAGACAGAAGAAGAATCAATGAATTTGAAATTTGGTGCTGTCAAGAATATTGAAAGTACCATGGGCTGCCAAAAAAAAAAAAGAATCATATCTTTCTTGAGAGATAGCCAGAAGCAAGGATGGTAAGACAAGTCGCATGTACTTTGGACATGTTGTCAGGAGAGATGAGTCACTGGAGAAGGACATCTTGGTAATATAGTGGAGCAGCAAATAAGAGGAATACCTTCAAGAAGATGGATTAGCACAGTAATTTGTGGGATCCAGCCCCATGGTTGAACAGGTCCTTGGGAGCAGCGTGTCCCAGAAAATAAAGAAGATGGTAAAAGATGGGATGCAGGGGTCTCATCTCTGATTTTGGAAAATAACAAGTTTATTTAGCAGCACGTTTACATAACAGCGAGGTGTGCAAGCCTCCATCAGGTATATACACGATAGAATGGGCAAAGTGTGGGTCTGGGACATCCTGAGTTCTTTAGGAGAAACTTCAAGATAAATATGAGGCATCTAAGATTCAAAGGAGCAGTTGACTCATTGAGGGGTGGGGACAAAGGGAACCTGACTGCTGTTAAAGATATGTCTCTTTTAGCTGAGTAGCAGGAGGCAGGTGTCTGTAGGAGACAGCTTTATAGTAGCATCTTAATAGAGGGCA